TATATACAATGCATATATATATATATACAATGCATATATACATGGGATACTAAGTATAAGTATGGGATACTAAGTATCTATCTTACCAGCAATCTTATCAGCAAATGGGATGGGTCACCGAATGTCACTTGCAAACATAACCTTTTCAGCGAGCAGAAGCCGAATGAGCACAACCTCCCACAAAATATATCAAAATTTGAGAAAGGGATTCCCATAGTGTCTCTGAATAAACCATATAGTATAGCCCACTCTTTCATAACCATCACTTGTCAGCATATACAATATTCTCAGATCACGTCAGTTTGAATGAAAAACTTCTTTGTGGTGGTGAAACACCCTATATTGTCAAAAACCTTACATTATGATCAGTCAGCAGCGGCTATGATGACCGCACAGCTGATCTTCAAAAAATCCCTAATATTAAACACCCCCTACACGAAAAAATGGTGGATGTAGGGAATGAAACCACATTAAAATGCGACCATAAAATGAGATTGTTTCATATGACACATGGCATGGGACTACTGATCTTGTCAGTTGCTCACATTGTGTCGCCGTCTCATGGGTGACTTTACTCCAACTGACGGCGATTTTACTGGAGCGACCCAAGTTTGGGGCTGCAGTTTAATGAGTGAAACTAAGGGAAACTATTGGAATGAGCTCCACAAGTTGGGAGATGTATATTAAAACATTACTGGTTGGTGGTGCAATAACCATCTTGAAAAAATATGAGTTCGTCAATGGTTGGAGGATTATCCAATATATATATATATATTATGGAAAATAAAATTCATGTTTGAAACCACCAAGCAGATTATATAAACCCTACAACTATGGTTATGTAAGCCGATGTCAAACCAAAATAGAAACCCAAGGATTTTCCCACAGTTCTGTGCTTGAGCTGCTAATTCGGTGAACCACCTCTGAGAGTCCAAACTTCGGCAACAGCGAAGCTGGTTTGTGGTTTCACCAATCCCAAGAATGTTGAAGCAGATGGGGTAAACCATAGATGATTAAAATAATAAGGGTTCAGAATAGTTTTTTTTGCTCAGGTTTGCCTTGTATTTGCAACAGTTTGGAACTAGAATCTGTCATATTGCATTGTATTTGCTGCATGTTTCCTTTGCATTTTGCATGGTATTTGCTACATTTTGGCGTGGTTACTTTGCATTTTGCATGGCATTTGCTACATTTGGCCATGTTTGCCTTCCATGTTGCATGGTATTTGCAACGTTTTGGCACTTCAACCTCTCATTTGCATGGTATTTGCTACATTTTGGTACTTCAAACGTTCATGTGGGTTTCTTGAGAGTTTCTTTAGGCTTTCATTTAGGCTTTCATTTAGGGTTTCATTGAGGGTTTCAGTAAGGGTTTCATAAAGGGTACCATTTAGGGTTTCATAAAGGGTATCATTTAGGGTTTCATGAGGATTTCATTTAGGGTTTCATTTAGGGTTTCATGTAGGGTTTCTTTAGGGTTTCTTTAGGGTTTAATTTAGGATACAAACAGGAGAGAATAAAACAAAAGAAAAGAAAATTACGTTACTTCGTGTGATCCCCACCATGGCATTTATACGTTTTGTTACTGGCAAATCTTCTGACATTCTATCTGGCATATCTTCTCGCATTCTATCTGACATATCTTCTGGCACTCGATCTGGCATTCTATCTGGCATATCTTCTGGCATTGTATTTGGCATTCTATCTGGCATATCTTCTGGCATATCTTCTGATATCCTATCTGGCATTCTATCTGGCAAATCTTCTGGCATTCTATCTGGCAAACATTCTGGCACTTTATCTGGCATACCTTCTGGCACTTTATCTGGCATTCTCTCTGGCATACCTTCTGGCATTCTATCTGGCATATCTTCCGGCAATCTATCTGGCATATCTTTTGGCATTCTATCTGGCATATCTTCTGGCATTTTATCTGGCATATCTTCTGGCATTCTATTTGACAATCTCTCTGGCATTCTATCTGGCATATCTTCTGGCATATCTTCTGACATCCTATCTGGCATTCTATCTGGCAAATCTCCTGGCATTCTATCTGGCAAACATTCTGGCACTTTATCTGGCATACATCTTCTGGCATTCTCTCTGGCATATCTTCTGGCATTCTATCTGGCATTTTATCTGGCACTCTCTCTGGCATACCTTTTGGCATTCTATCTGGCATATCTTCTGGCAATCTATCTGACATTTTATCTGACATTCTCTCTGGCATACCTTCTGGCATTCTATCTGGCGTATCTTCTACCATTCTATCTGGCATAGCTTCTGGCATTCTATCTGGCATACGTCATGGCATTTTACCTGGCATATCTTCTGGCATTCTATCTGGACGTTGAAGTCCAGCGGTGCACACTGAGCTGGGAAGGTCCCAGTTTGAGGTCCAGCGGTGCACACTGAGCTGGGCAGGTCCCAGGTTGAGGTCCAGCGGTGCACACTGAGCTGGGCAGGTCCCAGGTTGAGGTCCAGCGGTGCGCACTGAGCTGGGAAGTTGGCAAAGAGCTTGGCGAAGAGAGTTGGCAAAGAGCTTGGCGAAGAGTTGGCAAGGCGGAAGTGGAGGTGGAAGTTGATGCAGACATGGTCGAGGAGAAACTGGAGGAGGAGGAGGCGAGGAAGTGGAGGAGAAGGAGAAGGAGGAGAAGGAGGAGGAGAAACAGGAGGACAGCTAGCCGAGGAGGAGAAGAACAACTCTGATAAAATCTAACAACCCTCACCTGGCAGGTAGGGAATAAATAAAGCGGCAGTAAAGACAGAAAGCACAGAACCAGAGGAGCAGGAAGTAGAGCAGCAAAAACACGTGACTGAAGAAAAGGAAAAGTAGAGTAGTGTAAGTAGAAAGGCACAGAAGCACAAAAGCAGAGATGCAGGGAAAGCAGAGAAGCAGAAAAGAAAAGAAGCAGGTAAAGCAGAGAAGCATGAAAAGCAGAGAAGCAGGAAAAGCAAAAAGCAGGAAACGCAAAAAGCAGAAGAGCAGAGAAGCAGAAAAGCAGAGAAGCAGAAAAGAAGAGAAGTAGACAAGCAGAGAAGCAGAAAAGAAGAGAAGCAGGTAAAGCAGAGAAGCATGAACAGCAGAGAAGCAGAGAAGCAGAAAAGCAAAAAGCAGAAAAGCAGAGAAGCAGAAAAGCAGAGAAGCAGAAAAGAAGAGAAGTAGACAAGCAAAGAAGCAGGAAAAGCAGAAAAGCAGCACAGCAGAGAAGCAGGAAAGCATGGAACCAGGAACCCAAAAAAGCCAAAACTTGCCACGAAAAAAAAACTCAAATATAAATTACTTTACCTCGTGTCATCCCCACCATGACATTTATACGTTTTGTTATTGGCAAATCTTCTGACATTCTATCTGGCATATCTTCTGGCATTCTATCTGACATATCTTCTGGCAGTCGATCTGGCATTCTATCTGGCATATCTTCTGGCATTGTATTTGGCATTCTATCTGGCATATCTTCTGGCATATCTTCTGATCTCCTATCTGGCATTCTATCTGGCAAATCTTCTGGCATTCTATGTGGCAAACATTCTGGCACTTTATCTGGCATACCTTCTGGCACTTTATCTGGCATATCTTCTGGCATTCTATCTGGCATATCTTTTGGCATCCTATCTAGCATATCTTCTGGCATTTTATCTGGCATACAGTATCTTCTGGCATTCTATTTGACATTCTATCTGGCATTCTATCTGGCATATCTTCTGGCATATCTTCTGACATCCTATCTGGCATTCTATCTGGCAAATCTTCTGGCATTCTATCTGGCAAACATTCTGGCACTTTATCTGGCATACCTTCTGGCATTCTATCTGGCATTCTATCTGGCATATCTTCTGACATTTTATCTGGCACATCTTCTGGCATTCTATCTGGCATATCTTCTGGCATTCTATCTAACATTTTATCTGGCATTCTCTCTGGCATACCTTCTGGCATTCTATCTGGCATATCTTCTGGCAATCTATCTGACATTTTATCTGGCATTCTCTCTGGCATACCTTCTGGCGTTCTATCTGGCATACCTTCTAACAGATTCTAACATTCTATCTGGCATAGCTTCTGGCATTCTATCTGGCATATCTCATGGCATTTTATCTGGCATATCTTCTGGCATTCTATCTGGCATATCTTCTGACACTCTATCTGGCATATCTTCTGGCACTCTATCTGGCCGTTGAGGTCCAGCGGTGCACACTGAGCTGGGAAGGTCCCATGTTGAGGTCCAGCGGTGCACACTGAGCTGGGAAGGTCCCAGGTTGAGGTCCAGCGGTGCACACTGAGCTGGGCAGGTCCCAGGTTGAGGTCCAGCGGTGCACACTGAGCTGGAAAGTTGGCAAAAAGTTTGGCGAAGAGAGTTGGCAAAGAGCTTGGCGAAGAGTTGGCAAGGCGGAAGTGGAGGTGGAAGTTGATGCAGACATGGTCGAGGAGAAACTGGAGGAGGAGGAGGCGAGGAAGAGGAGGAGAAGGAGGAGAAGGAGGAGAAGGAGGAGAAGGAGGAGAAGGAGGAGAAGGAGGAGAAGGAGGGGAAGGAGGAGAAGGAGGAGAAGGAGGAGAAGGAGGAGAAGGAGGAGGACAGCTAGCCGAGGAGGACAGCTAGCCGAGGAGGAGAAGAACAACTCTGACAAAATCTAACAACCCTCACCTGGCAGGTGGGGAATAAACTTCCAAATGAAAATCAATGATGATTAATGCTGATTAAATGATATTTTTGAAGCAGTCACCTATAATCATGAATCATTCCAGTTGTTTGACTTTCGATGGATATGAAAAAGTCTTTTTGCAGAATCAGAATATGTGCTGGTGATTACTAAGTATCCTCTCCTGAATTGGTAAAATTACCATGTACAGATCCCTAATGCCACGAACTTTGAGATTTTCACAGTGAACCATGAGCAGTCAGCCTGGCTGCTAACATAGCTATTGAAAATGACCCATTTATAGTGGATTTACCCATTGAAAATGGTGATTTTCCATCTTTTTTGTATGTTTACCAGGCCGGGTAAAAGGCACTTTCTTTTCCAAGCGCCGAGTTCTCCACTCACGCACCGCACAGGCTCGACTACAAACATCTGAGCCGATCTTGAACTTTGGAGCTATCACCACCAGCATGAGAAGGTCCCCATGTAACCACCAATCCATCCTGGTTGGTGGTATACACCTCTGAAAAATATTAGTCAATGGGAAGGATTATCCCATGTATTATGGAAAATAAAATTCATGCTCCAAACCACCAACCAGCATCTGTCAGAATCGCAGCAAACGCATAGTCTGTGCCCTGGATCTGCTCAACATGTCTGAGCTGATCTTGGACTGCCGAGCTGTCACCACCACAACGCGGATCGCCCCATGTCACCACCGATCCGTCTGCCAAGATGGCAGCGAATGCCCTCAACGTGGATTGAATCTGCACGACACCCCTGAGCTGATGTTGAACGTTGGAGCTGTCACCACCATGTGCTGCATTTCCCCAGCTCACCACGGATCCATCTGCTAAAATCGCAGCAAAAGCATCTACTGAGGCCTGGATCTGCACAACATCCTTCAGCTGATGCTGGACCAGACTGCTGTCACCACCGCTAGGTGTATGGCCCCATGTTACCACGGATCCGTCTGTCAAAACTGCAGCAAATGCCTCGCAAGTGGCTTGAATCTGCTCGACATTCCTGAGCTGATCGTGGACTGCAGAGCTGTCACCACCACAGCATGGATCGCCCCAGGTCACAACAGATCCATTTGCCAAAATGGCAGCAAATGCGCTATCCGTAGCTTGAATCTGCTGCACGTTTCTGAGTTGATCTTGGACTGCAGAAATGTCACCACCGAACTCTGGATGGCCCCATGTCACCAAAGATCCATCTCGACGAATTGCAGCAAATGCCCCTGCTGTGGCCTGGAGTTCTTCAACATTCTGCAGCTTATCCTCACTTCCGGAAGAGTCACCACCTCCTTCTTGATCACCCCAAGCAACCTTGGTGGTTCGATCATGTAAGATCAAGCCATATAAAACCATTGATCAGTCGCTGCCCTTCAAAAAAGGGATCAAACATGATCAATAAGTAACCCCATCGAATTCCCACACAGGTTGAACAATCTAAGTCTTTGTCCAGCAACTACGGATCCATCAGCCAGGATGGCCGCGAATGCTCCACCATCTTTGGGTGCGTGAATTTGCCGCACATTCTTCAGCCGAGTTTGCACCGCGGTGCTGTCACCACCGGACTCTGGATCACCCCAGGTCACCACCGATCCATCTGCCAGGATGGCGGCAAATGCTCCAAACGAGGTCTGAAGCTGCTCTACATTCCTTGGAGTTGCGACCGGGGGACCATGAAAAGTAGAAACATATCCATTAATATTCTCTATAGATTCTCCAAGTAGTGAATATTCCCTATAAATTCTCCAAATGGTCAGCAGTTCATACTTCCTATAGATTCCCCAGTCTTTTGGTGGATTTCCCATTGGGAAAGCCACATCATCTTCAGCTCCAGGATTCCTAAGCTGACCTCGGACTGCAGAACAGTCACCACCATACTCTGGATCACCCCATGCAACGACTCTTCCACCCTCGAGGATCGCGGCAAAAGCAGTACGGGTGGCTTGAACCTGCTTCACCTGGGGACCATGCGACCAAGAAACCATTGAGAAATCATATAGAAATCATTACTCCCTATTCAATGGGTAAATTCAACTCATAAAAATCCAAGACACATTTAAATTTCGGAGCTGATCTTGGATTGCAGAGCTGTCACCACCATTGACTGCATGGCCCCAGGTGACCATCTTCTTTCCACCGCACCACAAGGCGAAGGCTGCCGCTGTTGCTGCGATGTTTGCTCGAAGCGCCACAACGGTGAGGTGATCTCCACTCCGAAGCCCCGCTGCTTCCAGGGATTCATTGGGATCGCTAAGGACGCGACCCTCTGCAGTCAAGAGCTGGAGAAATCCCCCAAAAGACTCCCGGGCCAGAAGACTCCTGATATTTGTTGAGGTTTAAAACATGGGAACATATTCAATTCCCTTTTTAATGACCCAACGTGTGGATTTATCAATGGGAAAATAGATGAAAATAGTGGGAAAAAAGAAAAAATCACCTTGGGCAAATCTAAGCCTCAAGTCCCCAACTTTGGAGGACTGCTGAACTTCAAAACTTCTGCTTTCGCCGCTCAGAGGAACAATATTTACTTGAAACATCATGACAAAATATGACGGAGACACCCTGGTTGATGGTTTCAAACCATCTCCGCAATTAAACAACCAGCAGCCAGCTCCACTGATCTCGAGCCGCAAATTATGCAGCACTACAGGCTCCAAGGTGCCACAGACTGGCTAGCCTACCAAAACCCGGGTTTACGAACACAACCTTTAGAGCCTGTGTGACTGATGGAGCACTCCGTCTCAAAAACCGCATAGCTCTCCCCTCAAGAAATCTTAAAATGAGGATAGGAGTATGGTTAATTAATATTAGTTATATGCCAAACACTTGAATTCCAAATATGTTAACCTCAACAAGCAACACGGCACTGGAACATTTTGCCACTTTAGTTTGATGATTCTCACGAAACAAAAACTCCATGGCAAGGCCACAGGGATTTCCCAAAATGCAAAGTTTGACAACCCAATCATCATTACATCCCACTATATCGAAATATCTTTGGATATATTTTCCCTATATACAAATCCCAGAAATACTGTGAAATCCCAGAAATACTGTGAAATATTGGATACATATGATATTTTCCCTATATATATCCAACTTTTCTTGGTTATATCCCATGAAATACTGTGGAATCCCACTCCAGGCTTGGCTGCTTGGCTTCGATTTTCGGAGACCCATATTTTCTGGGAAGGGAAAAGCATGGGAAAAAGCATGGGAAAAAGCATGGGAAAAAGCATGGAAGAGCCTAAATCTGCTGGTTCATCATCAATGTCCCGTATCCAGCTGATTTTCTTGATTCACGCACCCGAAAAAACACGGAAAATGGTGGGTCATTTAGGTATTCCAGTGACGTCACGACGTGAGGTCATGATGAAATTCATCCTGATCATATCCCATGAGATATTCCCATGAGATACTACCATTTAGGTGTTGCCTAAAATCGCAATGAACTACCAGCATCTACCAGTATAATATAGTATAATTAGAATCCCTATAAACCATGGTTGACCATGGTTTATCCCCGTAAAATCACGACATGTGAAGTTTTCATCCCCATTAATCAGAAATAGATCCCCATACACCATGGTTGACCACGGTTTGTCTCCATAAAAATCACGACATGGTGAAATTTTCATCATCCCCATGCCAAGTAGCTGGGACCAGAACCCAGGGCATCACCTGCGTTTTTTTTCGATTTTTGGGGTGTGTCTGGTGGGATGAAAAACCCATGAACAACATTTGGATACCAAGAAAACTTGAGAATGTCATGAAAGATGTACTGCTTGTTGGTTGAGCCCTACCCCTCTGAAAAATATGAGTTCGTCAGTTGGGCTGATTCTTCCCAATATATGGAAAAATAAAATTCATGTTGCAAACCACCAACCAGTGAATATATACTGGGGATCTATTGGAAATAGAAGGATTGGGGATATCATGGAGATATCATATGGGAAAAAATCACCCAATGCACCAATCAGTGTAGCTAAAACCTTGGTGAGTTTAACGTTAGCGAACCTTGCTTTTGCTGGATTTTTTGGGAAGCGAAGGATCGATATTTTTGGAGGATCACATCCCATTACGAGCTACATCTTGGTATCATATATCTGGCTGAATTTGAATGAACCAATCTCAAATAAGGACATGTGATAATTCCCCATAAGCATATTCTAGGGTGAGGTCGCGGTGGCGTCCCTATGAATCCAGCTCTCCAGGTCATGAGTTCACCAACGCCAAAGAAGGGATCTAAACATATCTAAACCAACAAAAATGAAGATCCAAACAGCACAAAAAACAACAAAAAAGTAAACTAGCAAAAATTGAAATAGCCTCCTGTAAAGTAGCATAGATGAGGAAAATCAACGGTTTCACTGGGAAATGATCTACAAATAGTAGGTGTTCCAAATCTATGGTAGTTGCAAGGTAATTTGAAGGAAACACTCGAACTGAACCAGCAACAACTCGCATTGAAACAGCACACTGGGATTTGATCAGGCAAATGAGTTATTGAACCAGCAGCAAAGGAGATTACTGATTAGCAAGTTCTGGCTGATGTAGCTCGTTAATTTGCTGATCAAGGAGTCATGTCACAATTTCTAACGGACAAAACTTGAAAATTTATCATCAACCTTTATGATTGAGAGTGAAACCATTTTTGTTACGCCAAAATCCACATCTTTGATGCTTTGGTATACATAATCATTATCAACCATATTCAGCCACCAGGTTCATGGTTATTCCGCCAAAAACTGCCGTTGCAACTATTTACCACGAATGCTTTCACAATATGACAATTCGCTTGTTGGTGGTCTCAACCGATGCCAAGATCAATCTCAGGTACTGTAGGGAACAAAATAGACATTGAACAATTTGGAGCGCACCAGTCAGTTCAGTTCTGGCGCTCACGATACCCTCTGGTAAACTAACATAACTATGGAAAATCAACATTTTTAATGGGTAAATCAACTATAAATGGCAATTTTCAATAGCTATATGTTGGTTTACCAGAGGGTACCCATTATTTGTGGTAAAATCACAAAATTTGTTGGTGAAAATGCCATCGGCCATCCCGTACGGACCCGCAGAATCCAAAATTATGTTACCACTACATGGAAGATCGTGTGTTATTCTGCAATAACAACCAACTTTGAGATACCCGTGCATGTGCACTAGATTCGTCAAAATCGATACTGTTTTTGATCATCATCATCATCATCTTCATCTTTGTATATTTCAAAAAATATTATTTGCAGTCTATCTTCGTATCCATTCGAATATTGTTTCTTTTAATGGTAAACGACCCCCAAAATAACGATAAACGGGTGGTATAAACCATCCCCCCAAATTATTGGGTTTCCCATGTATTACCAAAAGGGGGCCCCTAGGTAGCTAAGCAGGTTTATCTCCAATAATTACCTAGTTATAGTTTAATGTTGGTTCCTGATTAGTGTGTGGCCCCCCCCCCCCTCCCCTAAACTATATCTGGACTCTCTTTAAAGTAGAAAAGCAAAAAAAATCTTCCCAAAAGAAAAACATATCCTCGATTAAGTAAGGATTTCAATTGGCTACAATTGAAATCTAATTACTATTGTTTTTTTTGCCGATGAAGTTGTGGTATTTGTAGTACTTGTAGTACTTGTAGTACATGTAGTACTTGTAGTACTTGTAGTACTTGTAGTACTTGTAGTACTTGTAGTACTTGTAGTACTTGTAGTACTTGTAGTACATGTGGTACTTGTAGTACTTGTAGTACATGTAGTACTTGTAGTACATGTAGTACTTGTAGTACATGTAGTACTTGTAGTACTTGTAGTACTTGTAGTACTTGTAGTACTTGTAGTACTTGTAGTACATGTAGTACTTGTAGTACTTGCAGTACTTGTAGTACTTGTAGTACTTGTAGTACTTGTAGTACATGTAGTACTTGTAGTACTTGTAGTACTTGTAGTACTTGTAGTAATTGTAGTACTTGTAGTACTTGTAGTACTTGTAGTACTTGTAGTACTTGTAGTACTTGTAGTACTTGTAGTACTTGTAGTACTTGTAGTACTTGTAGTACTTGTAGTGCTTGTAGTACTTGTAGTACTTGTAGTACTTGTAGTACTTGTAGTACTTGTAGTACTTGTAGTACTTGTAGTACTTGTAGTACTTGTAGTACTTGTAGGACTTGTAGTACATGTAGTACTTGTAGTAATTACATGTAGTACTTGTAGTACTTGTAGGACTTGTAGTACTTGTAGGACTTGTAGTACTTGTAGTACTTGTAGTACTTGTAGTACTTGTAGTACTTGTAGTACTTGTAGTACTTGTAGTACATGTAGTACTTGTAGTACATGTAGTACTTGTAGTACTTGTAGTACTTGTAGTACTTGTAGTACTTGTAGTACTTGTAGTACTTGTAGTACTTGTAGTACTTGTGGAAAAGCTGTTCTTTAATAAGGGTTTAATATCCTTTGGGAAAGGCTTGGAGTTTGAATTTGGCAATTTTGGAAAAGGCTTGCTTCCCTTCTGGGCTTCCAGGGGCTGCTCTGGCACAGCTTGCTGCAATAGTGAACCCAGCAAATAAACCTACTAAAGTGAAATGGAGCCTCTCCTGGTCCAGGGCCTTGGAAAATTGTGGAAAAGCTGTTCTTTAATAAGGGTTTAATAAGGGATTGGCTCCTTTGGGAAAGGCATGGGGTTTGAATTTGGCAATTGCCTTTGGAAAAGGCTTGCTTCTCTTCTGGGCTTCCAGGAGCTGCTCTGGCACAGCTTGCTGCAATAGTGAACCCAGCAAACAAACCTACTAAAGGGAAATGGAGCCTCTCCTGGTTGGTCCAGGGCCTTGGAAAATTGTGGAAAAGGTGTTCTTTAATAAGGGTTTAATAAGGGATTGGCTTCTTTGGGAAAGGCTTGGGCTTTGAATTTGGCAATTTTGGAAAAGGCTTGCTTCTCTTCTGGGCTTCCAGGGGCTGCTCTGGCACAGCTTGCTGCAATAGTGAACCCAGCAAACAAACCTACTAAAGGGAAATGGGGCCTCTACTGGTCCAGGGCCTTGGAAAATTGTGGAAAAGCTGTTCTTTAATAAGGGTTTAATAAGGGATTGGCTCCTTTGGGAAAGGCTTGGAGTTTGAATTTGGCAATTGCCTTTGGAAAAGGCTTGCTTCTCTTCTGGGCTTCCAGGAGCTGCTCTGGCACAGCTTGCTGCAATTGTGAACCCAGCAAACAAACCTACTAAAGTGAAATGAAGCCTCTCCTGTTCCAGGGCCTTGGAAAATTGTGGAAAAGCTGTTCTTTAATAAGGGTTTAATAAGGGATTGGCTCCTTTGGGAAAGGCTTGGAGTTTGAATTTGGCAATTGCCTTTGGAAAAGGCTTGCTTCTCTTCTGGGCTTCCAGGAGCTGCTCTGGCAGAGTTTGCTGCAATAGTGAACCCAGCAAACAAACCTATTAAAGTGAAATGGAGCCTCTCCTGGTCCAGGGCCTTGGAAAATTGTGGAAAAGCTGTTCTTTAATAAGGGTTTAATAAGGGATTGGTTCTTTTGGGAAAGGCTTGGAGTTTGAATTTGGCAATTTTGGAAAAGGCGTGCTTCCCTTCTGGGCTTCCAGGGGCTGCTCTGGC